GGGGGGAAGAAGAGAAGGAGGAGGAGAAGAAGAAGAAATGTGATAAAAACTGTATTGTCTGGAGACATTTTACTGAGGACAGTGTGTTTTATTAGCTTCGTCCAAAGTGCAAGCAGCACTATCACTGCCTGAATTCATATTGTTCACTAATAAACAGCCTGTGCCGAGTGAGAAACCCTCACAGCTGTATCCGCATATGTACAAAGGCCAGTCTGTCTTGCCTCATTTAAAAAATATATATAAATCATTGCTATATGTTTATCAATAAAACTTTGAAAAGAAAAAAATAAATAAATAAATAAAAATAAAAAAATAAAAAATATATATATGTATGCTTATTTTATAGTTCTAAATCAAGGCTCTGACTCTAAGCTTCTTTATAATATAGCAAATAAAGGCTGTTCTAATGACTATCTAAAATACTGTGTTGCCTGAGTAGATACCAGAACTTTTGAACAAGTACAGCTGACTCACATCCTGAGCAGGGAACCACGGCTTGTTTCACAGAGAAGACCTTTGCAATGTGAAGAAATCCTTGCCCCAAAGCACTGAATAGTAGGAGGCATGCCTAGTGACTCCTCAATCCATTTGCCAGAATGCCATCTGCCCAATTTTACTTTCTTTAAGAAGAGTATTAATTTACTTCCCTTCTGCTCATGGTATTTCTCCACAAAGATTTGAAAAGCATGTGGAGGCTTCTTAAATGTTCAGTATGGGTAATTTGGACTTGTATGTCCACATGTCAAGCCAGTATATCTTAACTATAGGGAGGAGGGAACAAACACATACACATATACAAGACTCTGAGAGAAGTCACTTGGAAGACATGTTTAGTTTGTGTAACATGCTCCTAAATGATTCCTTGATTCTCAGTATAGTTGTTTGCAGTGGAGAAAACTACTCAGTGATAATTAGCCATCCTCAGTTCTAAGAACTGCCCATGTACTCTATAGGTACCGTGTACATTTTCTGTGGAAAACATAGAAAGTAAATATTTTAAGATTTGTGATTCATGAAATTGTCTGAATCTTGGCTCAATATACATCAGATTTAAGCACGCTGTTTGCATTATATCTGTATTCATATTATCTTCCAGGCTGTTCCTTACTCCAGAGAATTTAAGCAGAAATATGACTACTTTAGGAAGAAATTAAAGAAACCCGTGAGTAACCGTCTCTTCCCAGAATGCTGTTTCAGTCATTCATAAGTCACCAAAGTTACTTCAGTGACAACAACTTGTTTGGTACTTTTATGTGTATACTAAAAATATCACCTTCCTTTTTTCACTGCACTTTGATCCACCTGGATCTTCAATCTGAATTTTCTTTTTAACAGAAATGGTAAGTGAAGATTAACTCAGTATTGCATATCAAATCACCTGAGGGGTAATTTCTTATGTAATACAGAAGACAGACATAAATGATTTTTGTGGGATATAAAATAATTCAGCCCCTTAGTAAAAAAAAAAAAAAAAAAAGTGAGGGAAGACCATGTAATTGCTTTTAGTGGTCGTATTTTAGAGAATCTTTGTTTTAGTTAGAAAAGTATTCAAGTCTATCCCTTTAAATTGAGTGGTTTTCCAATAATATTTACATTCCAGTATAAAGTTTCTAATATATAATTATAATACTTGGCAGTATA